CTATGGCCTTCTTCACTTCTCTGGAGTGTGGAGAGCTTCCTTATTCCTTATAACTCATCAGACTGTTCATTCTAGTAACATTATCTACTTGAATATATAGCACCTCTCTCAGGACTTTGATTACCTGCTATCTGATCACACTAAGAATTGCACAGTTTTAAAGCACACTTTAGGAATATATTACATCATTCTTCTCCTTCTCCATAACCTTCTTCATTTCTTCTCACTTCTTTTATTTTCTTTTTAGTGCAATAGTTCCATCAAAAATCTATACTTTCCTAGTTATATGATCAAATAGACCAGCTGGCAGGTTATCATTTTGCTCTAACATACTTTGTTATTTATGCAGTGCTTTCTTACCTGAGTTATCCTAATTTATTTCCTATTATTGTTTGCAAACTGATTCAAGTTGATTGTGTTACCTTGGTCCATAGATCCTTTGTGACTGTTGTGGTATAAGGATTTATTGCACTTTACCATATAAGGGACATCCAAGCTTTGGAAAACTTGTGCCATTCATTATTATTCAATGGCTCACCAATTAAGCTTTCTGCTTAGCTGCAAAGTAAAAGCCATTAGGTACCTTGGTTGCTATCACCATAGGCTTGATGTTCCCATCCTTGCACAGTTTGAACAGAAGTCTTCCTGAATTATGAATTTCACTTGTGGTTGATGGCATCTTTATTGGATTGTATTATTCTTAAGGAAAAAAAATTAATATTTGATTCTCAATGGATATTTCCCCCCTCTAAATAGATACTTTCATCTCTAAAAGGAATGGAGATGCTGCACAAGAAAATGTTTTGGGTAAATATTATCTTATTCATAAATCTAAACTTTTTTAAAAAATACTTCCAAATACAAATACCTTTTAGCAATAAAATATCACATCTTGTTTTTTCCTCTAAATATTGGCCTGTCATGTTTTTTGGGTGAAGTTTGGTATCTATATTGCTTGCATTATCGTTCCCCAGATGTGCTGTTTATGGAAGGTGGAAATAGTAGTCTGACACTTCTACTTAAGGCTTATCAGGGATTTTGACAGAGGCATTACAGAATTTTTCATGTGGGGCCCAAAGCAGTGTGAACAGAAGAAAAAGTTTTAGGGTTTTTCTACAAACTTTTGAAGAAGTGTTACTGGAAGACATTTCACAATGTAGCACTGGGTGTTGTTACAATTTAACCAGAGCTGATGCTAAACGTGTGGTTTGAACCCACAACAGGTTAAATAAAATGAAATAAAATAGTAGTTCCTCTCACATTTTCATTGGGACTGCATTATATGGCAAGTGGGGATTAACCTTTATCTAGCACTTGTCTCTCTAGTTATAATCCTGATGAAAAGTGATCTTTTTTGGACTCTAGCTTGCTGGACTTCTCAGTCAGCACAGACAGTGGTATACTTTTTGCTTAACTGATAGTCCTCTGGAATATTTCCCAATGTGAGATGTTACTTTTAATTGTGACTATGTAGTTAGGATTATATTGTTGGAAACCTGTTTACATCACTGACCACAGAAGCACACAAACAATAGATATTGTTTGCACACCTGCACCTCTTTGTATGATGCATGCTTCAAGTGGGACAAAACACAAACATCTGCCACCATCACAGTATCTGCATATATGTGATTATACCCTCTTGTGGCCACAGTCTGCCAGCAGATCCTATGAAATTGTACCACTAATACATTTAAAATTAGCTGAATGTAATTTCTAATGACACATCTAGCATCACATCAAGTATGCCTTGAAAACTGTGAAAAACATACTTGAATGTCCTTCCACAAGGAATGAAGTTGATGTGGGTTGTGATGGGTTTAAGAATGGACACAATTATTGAGTATATTAATGTGCAGTGAAGAAATTAGTCAAGCTAACAACAAATAGTGCAAGAAACAAGAATTTGATGTAGGGGATGGGGAATCCAAGACATAAATAATTGTGAATGCCTTGTCTGTAATGATTCAATGAAAAGGCGCTTTGTAAAACTGGTTAGTATCTAGGTTCTGTTTGGGTAGCAGCTGAAAGAATTTGCCAGCCAAAGGTCTCACGTCTCAGCTGTTGAGGGAGGATTTTCTGAGCAGCTCCTAACCTTGTGAACTCTAAAGCTCCTTGAAAAGCTCAAAATCATAAGCATCCTTTTTTGTATGGTGCTGTCAAAAATGTAGCTTAACCAGACTAAGCTAACCAAGAGTGAACAGCCAAGTCAAAAAGCAAAGAAGCCAAATAAATTAATTAGAAGCCAATCAAATGAAATGGAACCAATTATCCAAAATGCAGGAACAACAGATAATCAAGTCAGGCAAATCAAAATCCTTCTGTTATAATCAGCCAGGCATCAATTATGGTGGTAGTAGTTGGGAGATCCACTAATACCCACATGGATCATGAAGTGAAGTGACAGGACTAGCCCATTCTGTCACAAAAAAGGAGTGGAAGGGTGGATTGCTTGCTAAGAGCACTCTGGTGGGGCATTGAATCCAGGGCAAGGGTTGCAACGATGCAAGGCACTTCATGGCTCATTAGTTCACAGGAAAAAGGCACCAGCCCACTTCATTCTGGTTCCCCTTGCGTGTAGGAAAGACAAAAAAAATGCCTCCCACCAAGGCACAGGGAGGACGAGAAGCAGAAACATGAAAAGTCTAACAGGCCACAGAAGAAGCTTGATTAAAAAGCCTTACATGACAGAATAGTTTGGGCAGAGGGAAAAAAGCTACTTTCCATTTCATATACATGACTCTTCCGCTAAGCTGGGAGCACTTCCTACATGAGTAGAAAATGCTTCTAGCTTTTAGAAAAACACTTTAGATCCCAACCTATGGTTTCACCTGAATTAGATGTAATTTAAATTATTGTTTAAAAATTACTAGCACTAATTGTTTTCCATTGTTTGAAGGAAACGACAGTTCTGAAAGTGACTCTGAAAGCAGCTCTGAAAGCAACTCTGGTTAGTAGTTATATTGCTGCATTTCCTATATATAACATAAAGATATGTGTGTGTGTATAATATAAGAATATATAAGAATATAATATATAAGAAAGGAATGTTCTGCAAGACAGCATTGCTGGCTTACTGGAACTCTGAACTGAAGCATCTCACACTGCATTATATTATTGTAGGTGCCGCCCATTTATAGTCTCTTTCTGTCTTTTCTGAAAGTTTTATATTCAGCTTTAATGAAAGAGCAACCATCACCTGTCTATATAAGCCAGGTGTTGGCATTTGTGAGAACGTTCCTTTGGTGTCTTTAAGTGTGTATGTTGTTCCTCTAGCTGCTCATACATTAAGAGAAAACAGGGAAAGCTGGCAAACAGTATTGTGTCTCAGATAAAATAGTTCTGTGTTGGTTGGCGGGTCCTAACAACAAGAGACCATAAATATGCTTAGAAATTGGCAGCAAAAGTGGCAAAACAGGATAGCCAGGAAAAGGATAAGAGGAAACGGTTGCTGGCAGTAAGACATATGCATATTTTGGCGTACGTGCCTTAATAGTCTAACACCTATTTATTCTATAAACAAATATGCATTGAAATGAGTGTCTAAACATTTTTTTAACATTTATACAGTAGATACAGATGAAGCAGATCCAGATGAATCAGGTGAGTGTTCTTTATTGCATCTTTAACTGCCTTTCTTTGAGGAAAAAGATCTAGAAGAAGATGTTTGTGATATAGTTAAAAAAGAGGTACTTAGGGTCTGTGGCAGCAAATGTCTGCTAGCTGAAACATGACATCATTTAAGAATGGTTGTTCATACTGAAAATTAGCAAAGATCAGTGTGTTGGTTTTATTGACTATGCATACAATTTCAAAGAATGCTCTTTTCTAAAATTTTGTCAAAATGAATAAATGGTATCTCTCATTCATCTCTTCCCTATCCTGGTTAATATAAAAAAATAGAAATGTGTAGGAACATTGGCTGGCAGGATTGCTCCATGGTTTGAGCAATCCAGAGCCAGAGATTGAGAGTTTGATCCTGTGGCGATCTCCTCTGAAGCCCCTATCTCCCCCAGGTCTTCACAAGGTTCTCGCTCTTCATCTTTCTTCGCTGCCACCAGGTATTATTGCTTTAATACCATTTAATCATGGAGACATGTGTGCTTTTAAAACTTAAGTCTTTTATTAGTTCAGGGAAGTTAATATATGATTAATATTCAATAGGTAAATCACAGGCTGATAATCACTAGTATTTGAATCAAATCTACTATAACTTTAAACCTCTTTTGATTCTCCATTCTATTCATCGTTCTTACAGATCTCTAACTCACTCTTAGTTCACTTTTAAGTTTCACACAGTCTCTCTCTCCTCGAAAACTCTCTCAGGCCCCATCCACCAGTCTTTATATCCAGTGCCCTCCCCCCTTGGCTCTGCCTTCCATCCATTCATAGGCTCCTTCTTCACTGTTCAGCTGTGACGGACAGGGAAGGGCAGGGCTGTTCATTACAGATCCCGCACTGTTAATCCCAAAAGAGCCAGCCTGTGTGGCCTTGGACAAGCTGCAGATTCCCAGGATGCCTCCAGAAGAAGGGAATGGGAAACCACTTCTGAGTATTCTTTACCTGAAAAACCCTGAAAGTCTGAATTGACTTGACGGCACATGATAATGATGATTAGGAACATTGAAAGGACTTTGCTTGAGCACACCAAAAGTCCTAATAAGGCTGTTCCTAGGGCTGGGCAACTGGGGCCTAAGGGCAGAGAAACTTAGAGGGCATTGTTACCAATTTTCTGGTGAATGTAAGAAAAATAAATGGCAACACCTTCAAGTCCTATTTACTTCTTTTTTAAAGCACAGACTTTTTCTTTTGAACGGATGCCACATCATTCTTCTTTTCTATTTTCTTGGGGTGGTGGCATGCCCATACCTTAGGGCAGACTGGGAGGCAATGAGAATGCCACTTGCCCCAGATATCAAAATTTCTAGTTACAGCTCTAGGTGTCAGTCCAGTATCCTGTTTCCAGCAGTAATTAGTTAACTGGGAAATCTACAACTTTCCACTGCTATTTCTAACACACACACACACAAATATTTGGTTCTTATTGCCTCTAAAGGGTGGAAGGCTTTCCATTTCAGTGGCATGCTGATACCTGTTGATGCATTTACTTTCTATTATTTGCTTAATCCCATTTTACACCCATCTAATGGCTATAATATGGTAATTAACAATGACACTGGGAGATTAATAGCTTCATTCTTATTGCACAAACTTGCAGTAGGGTCACAGAAATCAACCCTGAATAGAATTTTGTCTAGAAATGTACATTTAACACATGTCATGTCCTGTGTTCATAAAAAGAATGTAACACAAAGGAATGAATTTGAAAACAAAATTTCAAAAAGCGCTTATCGGCTAGGACATCGAATGACTATGACTTCAAATACAGTGGTGCCTCGCATAATGAGCACACCGTTTAACGACGAATTTGCATAGCAATCTATTTTTTTAGATCGCTAATGTGACCACATTGCAATGGTTAGATAGGGCGAAAATCGCATTGTGATGATCGGTAAGCGAAACGCTTACCGATCTTCACATTGCGATGTTCCTAGAACAGCTGATCGGCAGTTCCAAGATGGCCGCCGGACACCCAAAACGGCCGCTGCAAGTGTTTTCACGCCCTGCCTGCATAGCAATCTATTTTTTTAGATCGCTAATGTGACCACATTGCAATGGTTAGATAGGGCGAAAATCGCATTGTGATGATCGGTAAGCGAAACGCTTACCGATCTTCACATTGCGATGTTCCTAGAACAGCTGATCGGCAGTTCCAAGATGGCCGCCGGACACCCAAAACGGCCGCTGCAAGTGTTTTCACGCCCTGCCCTCGCTTATCCGCCCAAAACGACCGCTGCAAGTGTTATCACGCCCTGCCCTCGCTTACCGAGGGCACGAAAATGGCGGCGCTATGGAGGAACTTTGCTGAACGGTGAGTTTGGGCCCCATAGGAATGCATTAAACCAAGTTTAATGCGTTCCTATGAGTTTTTTTCAATCTGTTTAACGATGTTTCCTCATAGCAACGATTAATCTGGAACAGATTAACGTCGCTATGCGGGGCACCACTGTACCATGTTTAGAAATCTGTGATGAGTATTGAGGAGGCTATGATACTATTGTACATAGACCCATTAAAACAATTCATTTTTTACAGATGAGGAGTCAGAAAAGAAAAAATTGAAGTTGGTTCGTATTGAACCAGGTATGATGCCTTTCTTGGAATCATACAACACTTTTCAGTGCATGTTTGACAAGTTCAGTATTTTTAAACTTAAGACATCTTATTTTCTTTGTAATTAATTTAGAAGTTAAAGTTCAGCAACCTTGTGAACACTGCAAGATCCAACAGGTAGGTTTAAAAATAAATAAATCCTCAGGCCTTTTTATTAATTGGTTTCACTCGAGTGATTCTGATGCCTCTCTAATCTGTCTTCTAACTTTTTTTCCTTTAAAAGGGAACACAGGAACGAGTAACCCCCAGAACACTTTCCAGAGGACAACTTTGGTAGGCTTTGTCCAATATAAATTACAAGTGATTACCTGCAACTATTTGTTGATTGTGAACACGTATAAATGCTCATGCAGAAATATATACATGCTTTATAAAAAGAGAGGCAGGAGAGCAGAAATGGACTTTCCGCCTCTATTCTCCAACTTTATTTTCATTTCTGTCATGTAGCTGTGTAATGGGCAAAAAAAAATGGCCAAAATAGTTACCCTCATTTACCCCAAATACAATGAAATAATATATTATGAAATGTAAATTCAAGCCATTTTACTCTTCTCATTTAACAATTTAAGTAATAGCTTATAAAATTGTTGTGAGGTTTCAAAAGCAAATTAGGACTAATAAACTAATTTGTAATAATTGTACCTTGATGATTGTCCAAAAGAATTCCTAGGCTTAAGCTGCTGACTCATTTTAAAGTAGAATCTTTACAAGACAGACTGCATATTTTGAAGTTGTGAAAATAAAACAGTGCTCTGAAGAAAATGGAAGCATCTGGGGGCACAAAGTGTCTTAAGTCTTGCTGATTAGTACTGCTAAAGGTAGAGCTAAATGAATTCAGTGGAGATCTTAAAGGTAAAGAGGTTGCTATTCAGATTACAGTAGTATTAATTAGACCAAGCCAAAGGCACTGATTGGTTGAAACTTAGCACTCAGTTTTGCTAATCAGTGGCCAAAAGTCCTTGTGCAAACATATGCAAGTGTAATGCACATGGCATAACTTTTGGAGGTAATTGCTTCAAGTTCTGAAATCATAGTAGACTATCTGTTGTGTACTGAGTCAATGTGACTTGTCATACAACAGTTTATGGGGATTTTCTAACGAGGTGTGGCAATTGCTTTGTGCAGGCATAACTACACAAGAGGATTTTAGCAGTGAAAAACACCAATTTTAAATTACATTTCTATTTTTCATAGTAAAAATGTTTGAGGAGCTCCCTTTAACATTTTTTTAAAATACTTTTTTTAAAGTTGGCATTTTCATTGGACCATAAAGGTCTTAAAAGGCATTGGTTTCTGAAGGAAAAGTTGTGCTGGCATTAGTGTGCTGTACATGTGACTTAAGTATCTCAATGCAGAGCTAGGAGTTGGGAATTTGATTCCCTATTGTGCCTTCTTGACAGAGTGCTAGACTAGATGATACATAGGGTCCCTTCCAACTCTGCAATTCTAAGATGATGATGATGACAATACTATAAAATATAGAGGAAGATTTTTTAAAAAGTATGATGCGTTGAAAACTATGATTTATGTGTTGCTTATACAGGTTGAAGCTGGATGCTGAAGGAATATATGAGTGTACCATTACAGGGCTAATCTTTGAAGTAACCACATCTGCTGTCATTGAATATTCTCTTTTGTCCTGGACCAAGTATGCTGCATATATTAAAGACCCTTGGATTATTGTGGGTCCTATATTTGATGTTAAATGTACACCACCATCTGTTCTTACTTCCATTCAGTTTCCACACACCCTCTGCCTTAATGGTAAGGTCTGTTCAGTACATTTAAACATATTTATATATCCAAGTACAACGGCATATTTTTAGAAAGTGGTAAAATTTTGATATTTCTCTGCAGATCATTCATCTGGTATGACCTTCAATGTATTTCATTTCAAAAATAATAGTCCAGAATTTGAACGTTCTGTTGATCACTCATCCACGCATATCAAATGGAATGTGAGCTCATTGTCTCCTGTTGGACCAGTAATAGAGAAGTATGATCCAGTGTATTACCACGGGGTTGTTATCTTATACAAAGTTGTCAGTGACCTCCCTTCGTTGGAGTTCCGTGTGTATATAGCTAGTAACAACAGCTCAGATATAAAGGTAAGATCAACTCTTGTTCTGACATCTTTCTTGAAAATAGAAACATAGATCACCTTCGCTTCCAGCATGCAATTATTCCCTATACATGTTTCTATTTGAGTTGCTAAATTTTGAAATAAACATTCTAGCATATGGGCAAATCCCAGTGGCTGGTTTGGATGTGGAACCTTCACAGACCTTAGGGCACAGCCCATGGAAAATGCTGCTCATCTGAAATTTATAATTCTGCTATGTATTCACAAGCTTCCTGTGTTCACAAATGTTCCATACATGCTGTTAGCTTCCTGTTGGTAAACATTTGAACTACAACAGGGCTATCAACAAAAAGCATGAATTGGCCTTCAAGCAGAGGAAATGACTCATGATTATGAGCTCAGATACAGATAGAGAAGCGCTTGTGGAGTAAGTGGGTGGGTTGGAGACACCTCATCCCAAAATGTGGGGAAGGAGAAATAAAACTACAAGCTGTCCATATGCAGTGAGTCAGTAGTCTCAACTAGTGGTATATGTACCAGTGGTGGGATACAAAATTTGTCAAAGTGGGACAAAGGGTATTCATAAAGTATTCATAAAGTAATACTCTGCTTAGTACTCGGAATAGGTTCCAAGAAAATGGAACGCTACCTGAATCAGTACTAAATAGGGCTATTTTAACACACACTCACACAGAGTGGGTGGACTATAGGCAGGTCTCCCAAAGACCCAGTCTGTCTCCTTAAGTACAATGGGCTAACATTGAGCATCACAAAATGGCCACCTGAGTACATGTGCTGTTGTAAATCAGTACTAATTGGGCAGTGATATATGAGTTACAACTGTAACTCAGAATTTACTATCCCTTAATGCCTATGTTCTTCTGGAAGTGTCAGATCTGACCCTGGGTGTGTGATCGGAAGAGCTACCAGGTCGGCAATAGATTGGTGGCAGTGATGGCAAAACGGGCTTGATTGGTATGGCTCTTTGCTGCCCATGCCTCTTATGTAAGAACCGAAAACAGTACAGTGGACCCTCTACTTACGGAATTAATCCGTATTGGGATGGTGGAAGTGTCAGATCTGACCCATTCCTCAGAGTCACTGGGTGTGTGATCGGAAGAGCTACCAGGTCGGCAATAGATTGGTGGCAGTGATGGCAAAACGGGCTTGATTGGTATGGCTCTTTGCTGCCCATGCCTCTTATGTAAGAACCTAAAACAGTATGCTTGTGAATAGCCATTTGCAAACGATCTAGATTATTTTTCCCACTAGATGTTGACTTGAGAACCTTTTGCATATTTTTGAAAGTGCAATTCGAATAGCCATTGGGCAAATGATCTAGTTTATTTTTCCCACTAGATGTTGACTTGAGAACCTTTTGCATATTTTTGAAAGTGCAATTCTGTAATACAGGCATAATTTTCAGCAGTGAATGGCTACAAGTTAAGAATTAAATGTATGCATTCATTGACGCATATCAAGTCATGTGACTGGTATGCGGTAGGGTATGACTATGCTAACCTCTTGTGGCAACACACTGCTGAAAGTAGTTTCATTGCGCTGATGTAGTTTCATTGATGGCATAACTAATAGAATTCTGGCCAATCATTAGAATCCATTAGGTCACTTACTGCACAAGTGACTTACTGCATTTACTTTCCAAGTAAGTAATTGGTATTAACATTGCACAAGAAAATTTAGTGACTGGTTTCTTTGTCCTTCCAATTACTCATTATTTTCCCATTCCTTTGAAGAATAGAAAACAGTCAATGTTCAGAAAGCAACAACCTCAAAATGCCTCCCAAAATTATTTTTCTTCTCAAAAACTAATGCAACACCCCTACAAGAAAATATTTCTGTTACACAAAAAAGTAACATTATTAATTACTAACTGCTCTGCAAATAGTATGATTTTTTTGCCCTTGTTGCCATAAAAATGATATGCAACTTACGTCATGTTACTTCAAAACTCTTGCTGTAGGGAAAGGATGGTGGGGAATCCTGTTTTTCAGGAGATTTTTTAATGTTTTGCTTCAAAGAGAACTCATTTCTAGGTATAGTTCTTAAGTTGCCTGAGTTGGCTCATCAGAATTTGAAAATGATCTTTTTTTAATTTTAGGATGTGTCAAAATCTGTAAGAAATTCTCTTAATAAATTCATTAAAATTGAGAAACCTCCTTGCCATAGATTACTTCAAGGTGGAAAGAGATACAGATTAATTAGTGACCCAGAAGCTGACATAACTCCTGAGGTACATTCTTAATTCTTCTTTGTAATTTTCTTGCAGAATATATGTCATTTTATGAAAGATTATTTTAACATTTTCATTCTTGATTTAAGGGTAGATTACTGGAAACTTACTCCTGGCAGTTAAAAAAAATCAAAATCATGAATGGTGTATCAACATGATACTTTATGTAATCTGTGAAATCTAGTTTGCTTGGATACCTGAAGTGAACTTTTAATACTTTGATATCCACTTCCTAGGAAATTCAGTTTGGTGACCATTCCACCCTAGCTGTGAAACCCTTTTTTGAGGTACGTTTGGAACAGCCAATGGAACTTACCTTAACGTTGATGGACTTGGAGTCTAATGAAACTGTGTGGAAAGCAAAGCTAAGAGAAAGTAAGAATTTATTACTGTTTTTAATTTATTAATGTTGTTAACCCTCATCTTCCAAGATAAAAAACTTTCACTGAGTGAATTCTACATATTTTCTGATCCTGTGAAAATTGCAGTGAAATGAAGGTTAAAGTACCCTGTTTCCTCGAAAATAAGACCTAATCTGAAAATAAGCCCTAGTATGATTTTTCAGGATGCTCGTAATATAAGCCCTAGCCCACAAATAAGCCCCAGTTAAGTGAAACCCCGCCCTCCACCATTGTGCAGGAACCAGAAGAAGATGACATGACTGTATTTGAATCAATGTAGATGGTTGTACATTAAAAAAAATAAAACATCCCCTGAAAATAAGCCCTAATGTGCTTTTTGGAGCAAAAAATAATATAAGACCCTGTCTTATTTTGGGGGAAACATGGTAAATCTATGGTTGTTATTAGGGCTAGGATTAAATTTACATGTCTTGCATTTCTTCAATTTACTAAGAGTTCCAATGCTCCCTTTCCCCAGTTCCTGAATGAGTCAAATCTATTGTCATCGCCACCAAAAATTGCTTTCTCTCTCTCTTTTCCAATAAAAACTGGAACAATTAAAAAAAAACACCCCAGTGGCAATGGATTTATTGGAACATTTTTAAAATTAAAACTAATTTTTACTTCTTCATTCAAAAAGAAACAGCACATTAAAAACTCTTGTGGCAAAAATGTTGTGGAATGCCTAACTTGTCTGTTTAGTTTTGTGTGAATTCTGCAACAAAAATTTCCTGTGAAAGATGAAAATGTCCTATCTAGGTGTAGAAAAATTAAACCCCAGTGATTTATTTAGGATTTAAATAACACAATTCAGTAACAAATTGTGATTGGTTGCAATCCAAATGGGCCTGTACGTATTTTGTACATAACATTGTCCCGGCCAGCCAGCTTCTAATTTAAAATATGACATCTCCCGGCATCCCAATAACTGAATATTAATCTACTTTTTAAAATTAAAGGATCTGAAATTAAATCACATTTCACTCTATGATTACACTCAGAAGTCAGGAAAAGAATTTGGTACAAGAGGTGGGTAGCATTGCGGGGGCAGACACATGCTCTGCAAAAATGCAAATATACGGAAATAACATATCATGGTATTGACAATGGATACTTATTCATATTCACAACAAAGATCCCTGGGCTGTTGATAAAGGGGGCAGAGTTAAGTTGAAAGAGAGTACTTGGAACCCTTTCCATTCCCAGTTGGAAGGGGAAGAGGTGATAAGTGTCAACAAAAGGGACGTTGCTCCTGTTGAGCCTTCTTTAATAAATGTTGATCATTACAAAACAGAAAACAACTCAGGAGTGATTTCATCAAGGGAAAACAAAGGGACAACAAATACCCTACCTCATAGCAATGCACATGCTATAAATGCAATTATATTTAGTTTTTAAAAAAATCATTGGTTGAAATTATTTTTAAAATAATTTAAGTAGCTGAAATTCTATTGCTTCATGTAGTAAGTCACACTAGAGTAGGTCTATTGAATCCACAGAGATTTGGGAGTCGGCTTGTCCAAAGGTTTCATTTATTCAAGTGGGCCTACTCTAGTTGCAACTTACTTTAAAATAAATTGCAGCTAGAGTAGGCCCATTGAATCCATGGAATGTATTCAGGGGTTGATTCACCAAATCTCCACTGATTCAGTGTGCAATTTATTATGCTAAGTAACAGGATTTCAGCCACTGTGCGATTAGATTTTGTCTGCTCATCTTAAGTCTGCCCTTTCTAAGTTATATATTGAAAGATATAAATGAAACTCAGTGATTATTGGACAAATGCTACTTTGATGCTCACTTGTTCTGTCATTACTGTTGCTTTTTATTACCACTTACTCCGTCGGTAAGTGAAACATATGGAAAGTTGGGTCAAAAATCACAAGCACTCTGTATTTCCTCTTCGAGGAGTAATCTAATATTTCGGCTGCACTGCAGTGAAATGGCAATTACTATTTCAGGCCTAACGCAGAATTTGTGTTCTGTCAAAATCAAGTTTCAGAGTGTCTATTTTTTGAACTTTTAATGATTTCTATTATCCAAACTACCTAACCCACCAAAACAGTTTATGTTCAAACATAAATTGTGCCTAAAATTAATTTTATATTTATGATTGTGGGCTGGCTGTGTTTTCACTCCATAAACTGCCCAGGGCAGTGGCTTCTCACTGGATAGGTGGTATAGAAATTAAATAAATAAATAACCTGTGGATTATGTATTTAAATAACTAAATATTCCTGGTCCTCTCAAATTGATGCCCTCCAGATCCATTGTACAACAATCCCAATGATGGTTGGGGTAAATAGAAGTTTTAATACAACACATCTGAAGTGCACCAGATTCACGAAGGTTGAAAAAAAAATCAGTGCTTAACATTCAAGTGTCAAAGAAAATGGTGAGGCTCATAGGCAAGAAGAGAGTTCAGTTGTAATGCTTAAGTTCATCAATAAAGCATGATTAATCACACTGAGAACAAACATATGTGTTTACTCCCTCTCCTCCACCCCTACACTGTAATTATGGTGCCAAATAATTGTTTCTCAATCTTTGATCTGGCAGATATTTTGGACATCAGCTGCCAGATCCCCTGGCCATTGCCTGGGGTTACTGGAAGAAGAAACCTCAAACATATTGAAGACAAAATGTTGAGAACTACCATCTTAAATTACTTTCTAAGTCCTGCTTACTCAGGAGATATGATCTCAGTTTTCTGTCCCCTGTTGGATGACATTGAGAGTCTGGGATTAGGTGGTGGGTTAACAGGCTGTGTGCGTTCTTGCTACTGTGTCTTTTGGATTTTTTTTAATGTTCTGATCTGATTTTGAATGATTAAAATCTGTTGGTTTTTTTTTAATACTGTTAATATATTGTAGACTGTTTTGGGTGCCCTGATGGCCAGAAAAATTATGTGCAAATGGTATGGATGGATGGATGGATGAGTGGGTGGGTGGACGGACGGACGGACGGACGGACGGACGGACGGACTGACTGACTGACTGACTGACTGACTGACTGACTGACTGACTGACTGACATTTTTAATGCCAATCTTTCCATGAATCTGCTGTGATAAGGTTTATTGTAAGAATTCTATTGGGGGATGGCGAGAAGCAGCACGAGAGACTCATACTATTTCTTTCCTTCCTCAAAGTCTTGGCCAATGACAGAAAAGATGGCTACCTTTCCTCTGAGAGCCTATGAGGACCTTTAAGCTAACCATGCAGGACAAGGGTAGTCTACCTTGCAAGTTATTATTGCATGCTTGTAGATTCAAATATCTGGTAATGACTCTCTGCCTTTATGTGTGGTTGGCTTGCTTTTGTTTCAGTATTTTGTGCACTGCTTTAACTTTGGTGGATAGATCTTAAAAAGTGGTTATGATTGAAAATTGGTTTTTAAATATCAATGACCTGTCGTTTTTTTGCAGTACAGTAAATGACTTCTTCCTCAGTGATTCACCCACCTTTGTCTTATTTATTTATTTATAATATTTTCCCCGCCTTTGTCCTTAGAAAAAAACCAAGGCAGCTGATGTCACTGTTTCCAAAACCTGCTAGAAAGGACTGAATATCAAACAGTCTTAAAAGTCATTACCAGTTATAGAATGACAGTCTCTTTTAGTATGATTAACATCATGTTGTTTCTGCTATTGTTAATCAATGCCAGGGTTCATAGAATCATAGAAAAGTGAAGTTGGAAGGGGCCTACAAGGCCATCAAATCCAACCCCCTGCTCAGTGCAGGAATACAATTGTTTTACAGTACAAGCTTCAATGGAAGAGATCTGAATATCAAACAGAAATCATCACCTGCTGTGAGATACTACACTGATTAGCACAATTTGCAACTTGCTAACCAACTAACCACTGCCTTTCTATTTGGATGCCATGTATAAATGTATAAAAATGTGCCATCTCTCTCTTACTGTATGTCTGAGAACATTGTGTTTGGTTTTTTATTATATTTTATTTTTATTTCACTTTTGCCTGAAAAGCACAGAAAATTACAGAAGCTCCTTTGACTTATTTTATTCATGCTTTACTGAAAAGGGGAAATACACTAATACTTTTTCTGTGTGAGAATTGTAGCACGTTTATTAACAGTGTAGATGACTGCATAGCGGGCTTTAATTTCCTTTCAAAACATTTCATTTAACAGGCGACTGGACCATACCTGTCCAAAATGACAATAAACCAAGAAGAATAACTAACAGTAAGTTATGTAAAATGTATATGCCAGAATTTCACGGGAGGCTTCTCTTATACTTTGTAAATATTCTACCATCTTGCTGTGATATGTATGTATATCACTTACACAGTGCAATCTGTATAGTCTATGTACATCTATGTGATGATTATTGCATATAGGAGGCACAATTTAAATATTTTGATACTCTATTCTTTGTCCTGTTATCTGTAGGCACAAGACGACGAAAATCTAGCACAAGTCTTTCAGGAGATGAAATTTGCAATAAACGGCTAAAAAGCCATGATACTTCAGGTAAAGAATTTTGCATAATTAAAGAAACCAGCATGTAGTGATATTTTAGCATTTTTACACTGGGATATTAAATTGTATTTTTAGGAAACAAAGATATAATAACAATTAGAATGGGAAAATTCATGCAAGCATAAATTTGTCATCTATGCCAGTGGTTCTTAACCTTTGTTACTCGGATGCTTTTGAACTGCAACTCCCAGAAACTCCAGTCAGTATAGCTGGTGGTGAAGGCTTCTGGGAGTTGCAGTCCAAAACTCCTGAGTAACCCAAGGTTAAGAACCAGTGATCTATGCCATATTACTCTTGTCTACTCATATCCACTAGAGGGTGGTATTGCATTCATTCAGTGCTTTTAAAGAACTGTGGAAAGGCAAATTTATCAATATAGTGAGGTTTCTTGCCTAGATGAAGAGAGGATGTCTCCTTCTCTGTGTAAATTATTCTCAGTCTTTAATGATGAATTCGGTTGGTGACTATGTATAGCAGTATAACTAAAATAATGGCAAGTGAAAAATGAATGGGAGGCATCAATATATGGTGGCAAGATTTACACAAGTACTGTACAGGGGAAAGAAATTGGTGGAAACGTCATCCAGCCAATACAGTGAGGATACAATAAATATTGTAAATAAATATGCTCACTGACTCCAGAATCCTGGATGCTCTTCAGATGTGTACTTATTGTGTAGAAAGGAAAGGAATGGAGTTTGAAGATTACATACAGTCATGCCTTGCTTTACGATTGCCCCGTATAACGATGAAACTGCTTAATGATGCCTTTTTTGCGATCGCAAAAGCAATCGCAAAACGATGCTTCCTATGGGCAAAATCCACTGTGCGATGATCAGTTCCCTGCTTCGGGAACTGATTTTTTGCATTACGACTTTAAGTAGCTTTTCCCTCACATCCTGAGATGTTCTGCAGTGAATTCCAATGTTTATGAACTATCCCCTGCAAATCCTTGTTAAATCTTTGCAGGGCAGATATATCTACTTCGGGGGAAAAAAGAGGCAGTAGTTCTAAACAGTACTGTAGACAAGTAGGTGAAGAGGGCTGTACCCCCTGTCCAGAATTTTGGAGGGGTGGCATCACTCAATTCAGGTGTATAGATTACCAGCTGGAGCATGAATTGGGAGCTTAGATCCTTTATGGGCCTGGTTTTTGAATTTGTACTTACTGGGACATTTAAAAAGCTCAGATGTAAGACCATTTTCCTGGTGGCCATTATATTCCTAAAGAAGTTTTCATATTTGAAGCTGCTGTTCTCCAACCCTGACTTGTGTGTGTTTAGCTGAAAAAAAAAGAGGGGGCGGTTATGTATTTAAATAATTTTAGCAAAAGATTTGCTTTATGATTTATAGGTCACAAAAAGAGGTTCCTTCCCTTTTTTTGGACAAAGCCTAGTGCATTAGCAAAAGCCATGGGATAAAAATGTAGAGGATTCTTCCTTTTCACCTAGCCACCAAACCAGACATGATTACCTAGCCAAGAGGGTGATTTGTGGAGCAAGGGAGGGCCTTAAATGTTGAAGGGGGTGCCCTCCTGCACCACTTGCCTATGTTCACCCAGGAAATAAGACGGCCTGTGTTATTTCCTGCAATGAAGCAGGGGTGAGGAACCTAGGTCTCTCCAACAGATGTCAGACTGCAGGATTTAGCCAACAAAGGGAATGATGAAGAATGTTGGGAGTTGGAACAGTTCAACAGCTTGGAATTAGAGCAGCTCAGCAACATCTGATGGGCTGCAGATTGTTCATCCTTGCTGCAAAGGATCTTAGGAGAAGAAGTAAATACCTACTCTGATAGATTGAAGGGATGAATAGGTAGGTGACTATGTACAAATAACACTTTCCTACAGGCGGCAGCTGCCCATCGATGCTGAGGGGATGCTGTCTTTTAGATGACATTCAGTGGGTGAATGTTGGCATCTGCTTGCTCACATACAGTAATATCCTGAGATTGTGGGCATTCTTTCCACCTGCAGGATGTTTTTAATAGGGAAGATCTAGTCATGTATAAAGAGAGACAACTCTATAGCTCCTTACTCTCTCACAAATACTACTGTGTTATATTCTGATGGCTATTGTGAATGAAATGCTCTTTTACATTTCTTGGGGGCCTGAAAGAGGAATTGTCACAAGGAAATTTAGAGGATGTCCTTTCTCAGACATTTGGCTTATTCTTCTTCTGGACTGTAGAAACAAGGATATATTTCAGCATAACTTCCTGAGTTCTGCCTCCTGCCTTATATGGATATGTTTTGTGTTGCTTTCTGGCATGCCTATATGTTGCTATATTGGTGTTCTCATTGTCTTTAGAATTCGTGCCTTTTTTTTTTCAGCATGGTCAGAGAAGCAGGGAGGAGGGTACGAGAGAATACATCCCTAGAATGTAGGTGACTTGCCCTGCCTCCAGACTAGACAGGAAGGAATATTCCATGTGAATATTAATGCCGTTTCAGCTTCCATAGTATTTAAATATATGTTAGTAAAAATTTCTTGCCGCTGCACAGTTCATGTTTAGCTTACTGAAAACAAACAGACAAACAAGTATGTTTCAGCTTTGTATTTCTGTGCTTTCAGATGGGATTAAAACAAAATCGGTGTTAACAGATCAGCAGCTGATGATTCTTGCAAAGAAGATGGGCAAAGACTGGAAAGTAATCGGCATTCAGTGTCTCAGGTTGTCTGTTGAAGACATTGAGCAGATTGCAGCAAAGGAAGAAGATGTTAATATGTATAAATGCATGATGTTGCGGAAATGGAGGGATTCTGAACAGAATAATGGAACCGCCAAAAGTTTATATGAGTGTCTAAAATATGACGCATCTCATGAAGTGCTAGAAATTCTTAGAGGTAGATATCATTTCTGTTTATATTTTCTTTACGATGTTTAAGACACTTAGAGTGAAGGACATATTTTTTAAGTGTGGGAAAACTGTCTTTGGTTTAAAAGTATGCGTACTGTCCTGAAAATTCATGTACATTTTAATGGCCTGGAGCAAACCTGGAAAAACTGGGACTTAGATTTTGTGCATGCTAAAGAAATGATGTTTGGGGCATCCAGTGATTATTAATTATCAGTTCTAGTTTAACTTTTTCCAGAATCTGAGGAGGTTTTGCAATTGCTGGAAGCAAATGTATTTTTCTGTGATCCAAGTTTATCCTGTTTGTCTTATATCTCATGTGGGATATTATTGATTAAGTTCTTGGATTACTTCATTGGTATGGGATTGCAACAGCACTACTGCTGCCTTTCTTGCATGATGCCTGGATATGTAACGGTTCTGGTGGTTCAAGATGGGGGACTCCTCACTCTGGAGTTGTATGGTGAGGCAACACCTATTTGGACCTTGACCCTGCTGCAAACACATAAGAAGTCTGGGGCCGAGCAGGAGGAACCTATGTTGTAGCCGAGCCATGTGTCTACATAAAAACATATATTTCTTTGTTGGTTTTCAAATATACAGAGCAGAAAAACGCCTCTTGCAGTTCTTAGAAATAGTTATTTTCCTTCATAAAACTTGCCTGTTCTCTCTTTCAGTCTCTTAGTTACTTATTGGTGTCTGATTTCATTAAATGGATATTTCAAATGCTCTCCTCATTTAATCCATCTTTGTTGTGAAGCTTGTCTAGAGACCTGGGTTAAAATCTCTGCTCTTCCATGGAAACTCAATGTAGGATAGCAGTGGTAAATTGCCCCTTGGGAAAAAAAGACTCTCTTAGAGTTCACAGAAGTTGGAAGTGACATGACAGCACATTAATAAATAGTTTCTACTAAAGTTAGTGCCATTGCTTCAGTACTGGAATTGCAGCTAAGGAAAAAAATCATAATATCAAAACTGACTTGTTACATTGCAGCCGTCACCAGATTTCCTTTCTCAGGCATGTTTCCTCCACTCCTTGTTGTTTAGGCCTCCTTGTTTATGCAGTTCATCCAAGTCAACAACAGAGATCCTTTTACCTACTCTGTGACCCATTTTGGTATTTCAAGCAATCATTGTCACGAGTTCACTGCTACTTTATCATTTAAGACACTGTTTCCTAACCTTTGGTAGTCCAGGTGTTCTTGAACTGCAACTTGTAGAAACCCTGGCCAGCACAACTGGTGTTGAAGGCATCTGGGAACTATAGTCTAAGAACACCTGGGTTTCCCAAGGTTAGAAACCACTGACTGTTTAACACATTTCTAAAGCCATAAACCCTATCATGCAAAGAGGACTGTGCTGAGCAGCCCTTTCCCACAAAATGATGCATGTTACGTTGTCCTGCCTCAAAGACCATGCATACAGTTGCATGTACAATAGCTTCTGCTAGCTGGTTCTCTGCCCTTTCAAAGTTCCCAGCTTGCATGGAGGGCTTCATTCATATAGCTGCACAAGTGAAGAATCCCTTCTTACAGTGAAAACTGGTTCATGCTGAATATGTGCACGTTGGGGCAGGACTGGTTGACATCTTGTGCCAGGAGTAAGGCTGTTTTGCATGACCTTGGTTCCGTGGTAGTTTCAACAACGCCTGAAGAGGGTTTAAGTCTGATGTGGACCTCATTTTAAGAAGAATGTTGTGGAATAGGTGAGGCTGGGACATAATTACTTGTCCAATTATTACTTGTCAAAGTTTGGAATAGTGTGATTGGCCACACACGGTAATCTGGTTTGTGAAGATTGGTACCACAGTGAGCCAGCAAGAGGGTTTATTTACCAGAAGGTCATCAAGGAATGTCATTATACAAATCATTATGTTCTCCGAGCCCATAAATGCAGCTTTTCTCCTTAGCTAAATCATACAGCCCCTGTGACAAACTTTGTAATCTAGCAGGCTGTCCTGAGAGACTGATTCCACTCCCACCCCACCCCAAATCAAAGTGAGAACCAAAAGTGGGACCTTGGAGAAATCCTCCCGCCTTAAACATATCCTGGAGGCCTAGGTCCTTTATTTGAAGGCAGTCTTAGCCTGCAAAAACCCTGGAGCCGTTAAATGGATTTATGAAAACTCACACTGATGAATGTGCCTGTGGTAATCCATGAAAGCTCACACGGAAATAAATATGCTAGTCTTAAAGATTCTGCAGTACTTTCTTTCCCTCTCCCTCTGTGTGTGACGTATGCTGAAACAGTCTGTCATGGGCACCTTGTTGAAAACTGTTGCTTTCAAGTCATTGCTGTTACGTGCCCTCAGGTTGCCTCCAATTCATAATCACTCTCTGAATGTGTGACCACAAAAATGTCCTATCTTGAACAGCACTGCTTAGTTCTTGCAAACACAAGGCAAACTCCTTTATGGGGTCAATCCTGCTTTTGGGTAGCTCTTGTAAATACAGTGTGGGGAGCCAAAAACTTGCATATGAGACTACTCTTATTAGACATTGCTCTTATATCAGTCTTCACCAGTGCCTCGGTCCTTAAAAGAAGCTGAGCTTAAAGAAAATATGAAATTTATTCTGAACTGTTTCCAAAACTTGAGCATGTGGTTGGCGAAGAGCAGTTTAGATTATTGTCCAAACCCTCTGGCTTACCATAATTAATCAAGGATGACTATTGCTGGTACTAGTAGGCAAACTTTCTTAAAGCCATTGGTAAGTAACCAACAAAAGACCAATATCTTCTGCATGAAGTAAAACTGAAAGTTGTCTCCTTGATCTTAACAAGAAAGAACTTGAAAGGTATCCTAGATTGTCATTAACATACAAATTAAAAAGCAGTGAAACAAACTGGTTTTCTTTGTCTGATCTCTGTGGTAACCTCAGTGGGCAATGGAGAGTTGCCTCTTCCCATATGGACCTAAATTTGGCCCTGTTTGTTTGATTATCTGTGAAATTGTAAGACTGGAACCTTGGTTATCATATCTTGTTCCCAACACATTCTATATATTTACTATGCCACACATAGGTTCTAAGTACCTCTAAAATCCTAAAGCCTTTTTGTCTTTTCCCCCCTCAGGTTTTTTAGAGCAGACATGAGCTCTTGGAGAAAATGCTTTTCAGATAAAGGAATACATCAGGAGTGCAAATTTTTCAAATGACTGAAAGGTGATTTTGTTGTAAACATCAAACAGATAGAAACTGAAGAGTTTCTGCAAAGAGAAAACGATCGACTGCTTGCAGAACACTCAGGGCAAAATATACTTTGGGGAAGAACGGAAGCAAATGGAGCTGTGGATGCCTGTAGATGCTTTTAGCCACTTGCTGCTTTTTTTCCCAATGACGTCTTGCCATGCTGTCCTGATGGAACTTCAGCTTTGATAAAACTTTCAACTTCACGTAGAGAGCCTATGCTTTTCCAATATGTTCTCAGGACTTTTTACATTACATTATTTTATGTTAGTTTGGATGAGCTGAGCTTTTAGTTTTTCCAGTGAATACACACAATAGTAACTGTAAATCAAACACAACTGTGAATGCATTTTTCTGCTTTCCATGTATGTAGATTAGAGATGGGCATGGACCTTGGTTTGGAGGTTCATGTCCGTTTGTATGTATGGCAACACAGGTGCTGTGCTTTGGAGGTTCATGTCTGTTTGTATGTATGGCAACACAGGTGCTGTGTGTTCCCTCCCCCTTCCTCCCAGGCTGGATCCCCACTCACCAGCCGGCGCATGCTCCTCTCCTCCTCCTCTTTAGCTGTTCCACCAGTCTCTGGCAGGATCACAGGCTTGCCTGTTTTGCAACTTGGCTGATCACCCACTCCAAATTTTTTAAAAAATGAACCATGAACTGGTGGCACACTAATCGCACCCCACCTGCCTCCACCCCCTTCCCACTGCCCTGTCACCTCCCTACCTGTTCCTGCCACCTCTTGCTCCTCCTCCACCACCACAAATGGGCGATCTAGTGCCGCATGGTGCTGATCCATCACTGTATGGTGCTGGGTTGCCTATTTGCAGACAAAAACTACCAAATGGACAACATGATCAGTCCAGGTCTTCTGCAATATGCAACAAAAGAGAATGTTGGGCATTTCCTTAGCTCTGCTCTCAGTCTGTGAAATGACATGCACAAGTGACATGGCTTAAGATATTTTGTTTTCTTTTAACTGGGGAGAGGACTTAGCAAAATACTGTCTAATGCACTGTAATGTCCTGTCCCTGCTTTTGCACCATGTCAAGCTACTCAAACTATGGATCAAGGAAACCCAGATTCCAATAGTATTGTATAGTTACTTGAATCTGTGTGATTACTGCTTACCTGTTTTAATTTGTATAGTTGGGCTTTGCTAATTATGGGGATGTTGGTGGTAAAGAGCAATGCAGATCATTGAAGCTTGAAATACAGGATATGTTCTGATATCTCCACATGATTAACAGATACAATTCACAGACTTTTGAACACATGTTCATGGCCAAAATGGGTAGATTTGCTATAAATGTCCTTTCTTATTAAAAAAAGTGAAATTTTGAAGTAGAGATTCTGCTCTCAGTTCTACCTCCTGGAATTTTAAAAAGAAATGATTATGTGGAACTACAGCCCTGATCTGTACCAGTTTCCAAGAGCTATCTACTAATATTGGATTGATTTGACCCCAAATTCACCATCCTCTAATTTTTAAAGTATACAGAGTTATTTGGAGTGAAGTTTCAGATTTTCAGGGATAATTCAGAAACACTTTTTAAAAAGCCAGAGTAGTCCTTTTCATTGCTTTTTAGGATGTAGCATTGATACAACAGGCAGCTTTGGAATCCATGTGCATGGCGTTTACACCTTGTCTCTATATGTTATACATTTTTGTTACACTTCCTTGTACAGAACTGAATGCACAGTGACTATGTTCATTTAAATACACTGATTGTACTTTGTGTTAAGTCATTTGTTATTGCTGTTTAATAGGCATTAAACATGTGTATGTACAAAAATAACATTTTTCCCTTGTAGCAGCAGATGCTGGAAGCAGGCAGCAGTTGGCAAAGTGCTGGAAAAGAGAACAGTGTGTGCCACATTGCCTGATGTTATAGGGATAGCAGAGCACCTCAATTGGCAAAAATGATAACAGGACCAGGGGTCTTAGTGTTCATACATTTTTGACATGTCCAGACTTGATATCTTTATTGCCCGATAGCTAGTTTTTGAGCTTCTGCCCATCTGGGGTGAACAACTTGTTCTTTCCCATGGGAAATTTTCTAGCAGTTGGTACTTTCCCCAACCAACCTTTACTAACCTATAGATATATAATCACACGAATACTCTTCAGTAGAGATGGGGATGATGCGCCAAACTTGATGACCCATGAATTGTCCCCACGTGGCCCGACAAACCACAAATAATTTGTCCATTTGTTGGGTCATCGTCGTCGTCGTCGTCATCATCATCATCATCATCATCATCATCATCATCATCATCATCATCATCATT